AGGAGGAGGAGGAGGAGGAGGAGGAGGAGAGGAGGAGGAGGAGGAGGAGAGGAGGAGGAGGAGGAGGAGGAGGAGGAGGAGGAGGAGGAGGAGGAGAGGAGGAGGAGGAGGAGGAGGAGGAGGAGGAGGAGGAGGAAGAGGCAGGAGGAGGAGGAGGAGGAGGAGGAGGAGGAGGAGGAGGAGGAGGAGGAGGAGGGAGGAGGAGGAGGAGGAGGAGGAGGAGTAGTAGGAGGAGGAGGAGGAGGAGGAGATGGAGGAGGAGGAGGAGGAGGAGGAGGAGGAGGAGGAGGAGGAGGAGGAGGAGGAGGAGGAAGGAGGAGGAGGAGGAGGAGGAGGACGCGATGTGGAGCGGCTTCGGCTCAGGCGGGAGAGAGCGGCCGTGGTCTCTCGCTCGGCCTGCCGCGGGTTGCGGCGGGAGTTTTCGCCGCGAGGGCGGGGGGGGGCCTCGGCGGCAAGGGGTCCCAGAGCCCCGGGGCGCTCCCCAGGACCAGGTCTGCACTCTAGGCTTCAGTCGGGCCCGTCCCTCTATAGGAGGAATATTCAAACATAGTTAAGAACTAGTCTGGGGACGATTTTAAAAATAATATATATATATATATATATATATATATATATATATATATATATATATATATGTATACACATGTTTTGAATATGTTTGGGCATTTTGTTGGCATTTTTCATCTATCGCCCAAAATCCGCCTGTAGGGGGACACGCTCGACTTAATCCTAGGCCTCCCAGATGGGGTCCGAGGATCTCGCCGCATCGCCGATGCATCGCCGATGCGGCTCATGTGGGGCCCGATTTGCTTCACGCCGACGTCGCCGATGCATCGCCCGCGTCGGCGATGCATCGCTGATGCATCGCCGATGCATCGGCGATGCATCGCCGATTTATCGGCAATGCGGCGCGATCCTCCGACCCCATCTACTCCGATCCCATCTAGGAGGCATCCAGATTCAGAATTCCCCAGGACGGGCTCTTCGGCCTGGGCTGTTTCTGTCGGCGGTCCCTGGGAGGGAGCCCCGGAGGGTGGAGTGCCCCCTGGGGACCGGAAGCGACGAGCATCAGCCCGTGGCCCTTCGCCGTTCGGGGCCCGCCGCCCTCATGCCACGGAGGCGACGAGCCCAAGCCCATTGGCCCTTCGCTGTGCGGGCGAGGAGAGCGCCGTGAGGCAGGCGAGCGCATGGGGGAATGGGCGTCCGAGCGAGGGGCGAGGAGAGGCCTCTCTGGGACCTTCCAAGAAACGTCTCGCCTCTTCATTTCAAGGGGCCCACGGACACACACACACACACACACACACACACAGAAACATACACACAGAAACATACACACACACACACAGAAACAGAAATACACACGAATAGCGAGATTCCCCATTTTCCTATATTTTCTGGGTTTTTACTGTCCCCCCCCCACACTTCCCATATTTTCCTACATTTTCTTGGGAATCGACGATTAATTGGGTCTGTGTGTTTTTTCCCCTCCTGATCTTGGGAGGCCGCTCACCTCGCGCGCCACCCCCGTACGCGCGCCGCCGAGCCAGGTGACCTACGGTGGGAGCGTTCGTTAAGGAATGCGCCAAGGAGGCTGCAAATCTTATGATGTTCCAACCTACTTTAGCCTTGATCGCCAGAAAGAATGTCCAGCGCCAAAAAGGCACCGAAACTCTAGGGTTTTCACGCGTCGGGCCCTGGGGGGACACTCTTCCGACACTGTTTCGACACTCTTTCGACACTTTTCCGGGTGCTCGAAATTATTTTTGGGATGTGGTCCTTAAGTACGAGGGGAGCAACATAATGCAAACCCTGGAGGATTCCTTATCTGGTGAGGGCGGCGGTGATATCCGTGGCCGATCCATGATTGGAGTTCCACCGTCTTCCAGACCCTGGATTCCTGTCTAAGGGTTCCTTGCCCAATGCCCCCCACCGTATAGGTGATCTCATGGGTCGGTGGCAAGCGAGGGGAGAAGTGAGAAAGAGCGGGCCTTCTCGGAAGGCTCAAACGTCCTCCAGCCTTTTGAGGATTGTTCTGAGCCTTCCCCGAAGACGCAAAACACCTTTCAGAAGGCCGGAGGCCTTCTGAGAAGCCCCGCCGCTTTCTGACAATCAGGGCCCCAAAACGTGGTGGTGACCACACCGTGTGGTGAGTCGGTGGGGATTCGGGGTCACCGCACGGTTTTGGGACTCGAGTCCTTCTCCGAGGATGTCTTAGGCGACAGGGGCCTCCAGGGCCCCAAGACCGTGCGGTGCCGGACCGTGCGATGAGGTCTCTTAGGTTTCCGAGGTCACCGCACGGTCTGTCACCACACGGGTTCGGGATCCCCGAGACGAGGCCTTCTCCCTCTTATGTCCCCCCCCCCTCGCTCGCCGCCGAATGGGGGAGACCCAGGCGGGAGCATGGTGCGAGGCGCTCCAGGGCGCCGCCTCCGAGGACCGGTAAGGAGTTGACCAGTCAGGAGCTGATGCCTCTTCCCCAGCAGAAGGGCGGCGGTGGAGGGTTTCTCCGAAGGGCTTAGGTGACCCCTCCTCCTCCTCCTCCTCCTCCTCCTCCTCCTCCTCCTCCGACTACTACTACTACTACTGCTACTACTACTACTACTGCTACTACTACTACTACTACTACTACTACTACGACTACTACTACGACTACTACTACTAGGCCTACTACTACTATTACTACTCCTCCTCCTCCTCCTCCTCCTACTACTACTACTACTACTACGACTACGACTACGACTACGACTACGACTACAACTACGACTACGACTACGACTACGACTACTACTACCACTACTACTACTACTACTACTACTACTACTACTATACACTACTACTACTATATTACTACTACTACTACTACTAACTACTACTACTACTACTACTACTACTACTACTACTACTACTACTACTACTACTACTACTACGACTAACACTACTACTACTACTACTACTACTACGACTACTACTAGTACTACTACTACTAACTAACTATACTTATTACTACACTACTGCTACTACTACTACTACTATTTACTGCTACTACTACTACGACTACTTCTTCTACTTCTTCTACGACTACTACTACTACTACTACGACTACGCTACTACTACTATACGACTACTACTACTACTACTACTACTACTCCTACTACTACTACTACTTACTACTCTACTACTACCTCTAACTACGCCTACTCCTCAACCTCCTACTATTACTAATACTACTCTGCCTACTACTACTACTACTACCACTCTTCTTCTTACTACTACTAGCTACTGCTACTACTACTACTATACCGACTACATACTACTCCTACCTTCTTCTACTCCTACTCTTCTAACTCCTATACGCCTCTCCCTACTACTACTACTACTACTACTACTACTACTACTACTACCACTACCACTACTGCTACACTACTACTACGACCACTACTACTACTACTACTACTACTACTACTACTACTACTACTACTACTACTACTACTACTACTACTACTACTACTACTACTACTACTACTACTACTACTACTACTACTACTACTACTACTACTACTATTACTACTACTACTACTACTACTACTACTACTACTACTACTACTACTACTACTACTACTACTACTACTACTACTAATACTACTACTACTACTACTACTACTACTACTACTACTACTACTACTACTACTACTACTACACTCTACCTACTACTACTACTACTACTACTACTACTACTACTACTACTACTACTACTACTACTACTACTACTGCTACTACTACTACTCTACTACTTACTCTACTACTACTACTACTACTACTATACTACTACTACTACTACTACTACTACTACATACTAACTACTACTACTACTACTACTACTACTACTACTACTACCACTACTACTGCTCCTTCCTCCTCCTCCTCCTCTTTCTCCTCCTCCTCCTTCTCCTCCTCCTTCTCCTCCATCTCCTCCTCCCCCTCCCCCTCCTCCACCTCCTCCTCCTTCCCCTCGAAGAAGAAGAATAATCGTCATAAACATAATGTTTGGGCGCTTCGCGCGGATTTTTTGGATCCGTGATAGGCTCCCGGCGGCGCCTCCGGCGCTGCCCATGGCGCGCTCCGCGCGCCATGGAGCGGGGCCCAGCGCAGATGCAAGAAATCCGCGCGGAGCGCCAAAAGTTTATATTTCTGTCTCTCTCTCTTCGTCTAACTGCGGTCCAAGACCTGTTTCCATTAGGAACCGCTTCTCCCATGCTAAAAGAGATGGCGAAGTTTTCTGGTCCGAGGCGATTTGAACCCGCCATGTGTAGAGCGGTTCGGCTGCGACGCTCCATCTGTGTACGGGTTTGCTGGTTCTGGTGGCAAGCACTTCTGTTGATCGCTGACAAACAAGATGATTACTTCGAATACGGGAGGACAGGCTGTGGGTGTAGTTGCCGGGTGTTGGCTGCCTACGTGGGTATTGCCGTTGCGCGCATTCCAATGCAGCAATCACCAAGTTGGAAATACACGCCACTTTGCACTTCCTGTCCATACATAGTACGGGAGTTGTCATGATAAGTGTGAGCGTGTACCTAGATGTGTCCTGATGTCTTCGGCGTCATGTGCGTATTTGATTTGATAGCGGTCGCACTTCCATTGTCATTTCCCCAATGTGACGAGATCCGTTGGCCTGATTACGTTCGTTCCTATTGCTCGAGGATTTTGATGCGGGAATTGGGATGGTGTTTGTTCACCGGTGAGTTGACAGTCTCTCAACCGTCTGTTTTTTTGTTCTTCAGTAGCCCAGGCCAGATGGGGGCCATGACGAGCGCTCCCCGCGACCCTGACAATTTTTATGGTGCACAGTTTCTGGAGTATGTTCGGAGGCTTGAGCGTTTTCCGATTCCAAAAACATTATTTTGGTCGGGCTGCCCTGGTGAGCATGATCTGAAGTATTTCCAAGTCGGAATTTCTGAGCAGAGGAGGTCACGAATCTCAGCTGCGCTTGCTGCTGGCAGGCGACCAACTCGGAGAAGCGCCAAAAGAACAACAAGGCTGACCCGCCCAGCAGCCACATAGTATCGCGACGGTGGCGTCAACTGCTTGCTCTTGATGTCACTGGCGCAGTTCGGAATCGAATCTTCTTCATCTGGGGTGGCCATCTCGTCTGAGGGCTGGCTGTGGATCGACAATTTGTTGGCGAAACTTTACACTGGCTGGGGGGATGGCGCAGCGCAGCGTCCTCCCCCCCCTCCCCCCTTTAACGTGCTGCATCCCCAGGAATATAACGAACACTATCGCGCGTGGTTATAAGCGTTGTTGCCGGTGTTTTGCGCCATGTGCTTGGCGCCACGTGCCACTCGTAGTCGGGGTACGTGTGACCTCTGTGCAGTGGTGTGCTCTGCGCGTGTGCAGTGTATGCCGTGCGTCGCAGATCTGCCTGTTGCTCATTATTGTAGATGAGTGCCGGGAGGCTTTAATCAATGGAGTGGGCCAGCCTGGGCTGGGTCTGAAATCAAAATTGAAAGTCTCCATTGATTTCGTCGCTGCCCCTCGCGAACTCTCAGTTTAGACAGTGTTTGCGGTTTCGTGTTGGCCTTCATAGATTTCGAGACTCGCCCTCACCATCGTTTGATTCCTCGTCTGGGCCGATGGCCTGAGTGTACTGTTTTTGTCGCTTGCCCGCCCGATTTTCCATTTGACCCAGTCTCCGATCATTGTGTTTATTTTGATTTCAGCCTTCATTGAGTTCGGCCTCCTGGTAGTTCAGGGTCTATCCCCCGGTCGTCGCAGTGTAATGAAGGGCAGCAAAAATGCACACCAATGCCGCAGAGCTTGATCAATTATGAACCCTCGCGCAAGTCATGGCGCGCGCGGGTGACGGCGCGCGCGGGTGTCGTGCAACATGCTGGTGTACGCGAGCGCGTTGCGTGCTCGTGTGAGTGCGCGTGTGTACTTGCGCGCGCATGTGCGTGCATGTGCGTGGACATGCGCGAGAAAGTGTGGAGTGCTGGCAAAGAACGTGCGCATGCATCCCACCCCTTCAACAACCGTGGTCGACTCCAACCACGTGCACCTGCGTGTACTGTCACATCTTGCTGTTCAAGTTGCGCACCACATCGTGTACTACTGCATTGCGTTGTTCATGCTGCACACCACGTGTTGTATACTGCCGCCCGGTACACAGGACCCCTGCAACAGGATTGTTGGGGTTGGGATGCTCCTGTGCGCTGTTCGGATGCTCGTGACCCAGCCCCCGCTGCACCTGCCCCAGCTGCGCCAGAGAGTACACTTCCTCCTCGCCTCTACTCTCACGCCGACCCCTTGCACGGAGGAGAGCGATATGCGTCGCATCCGCAGAACTCGAGCGGTGCGACCGATACTTCGAAGGTGCGGCCTCGATCCGCGAACAGGGTAGAGCCCTGCTGCGCGCCTGGGCACGCGCGCGCGAGTTCGGATGTCTTTGCGGATGCGGCGCGGCCGCGTCGCACATATGGGCAAGCCGCTGCGCTGCCACCGCGAGGGGTGGCGTGACGTGTGTGGGGGTCGGCGCGAGACGAGATGGAAGCGCTTCTCGGGAGCCATCAGGCTGCGTCAGGATCTGTCGGGCGCTCACGCAGCCTTTTTTTCCCGGAAAAAGCTTGGGCCCAGGGAACTCTTTTAGTAGGTAAACTTGTCCCCGGTGCCTCAATTGAGGTGGGCCGGCGGATTCTTTCTTTGATAAATAACGAGGTCGAGGTGGGCCGTCGGATTAACATTTGAGGATGTCTCAGGCGAAACGCTTGTTTTTTTAATCCCGATCGATAGATCACAGGGTGCGGGCCATTCTTTCGTGTGTTGAGGATGTCCCACACCCCAGCACGACCACGCCCCAGCACGACCACGCCCCAGCACGACCACGCCCCAGCACGACCACCCCTCAGCACGACTACCCTCCCAGCACGACCACCCCCCAGCACGACCACACCCCAGCACGACCACACCCCAGCACGACCACTCCCCAGCACGACCACACCGCCTTGGTTGAGTGATTGCCTGTCGTCGTGGAATGTTTCGTGCGGTGTCTCGTGGACTGTTCCGCGGGGTGTCTCGTGGAATGTTTCCAGGAAAACGTTGAAAACGGTCGCCCGTGTCTCGTGGAATGTTTCGCGGGGTGTCTCGTGGAAGTGCCCGTCGCCCAATACGGTGTCGTGAAAACGTTTCCATGCATGCGGTTCTATATCCCTTTCCGGGTTCGTGGGTCCATCATGTTTCTCTCATATAGCTGTTCATGATTCTTCAAAATTGCATGCGGTTCCTCTGGTTGCGTCGCATATGCTGTCGTCCCCCTACGCGACCACCGCGTGGGGTGGCATGTGGGGTTGGAAAGACATGGATTGAAGGATCCTTCGGCATCCTTCAGGCTGCGTTTGGGTTCCTCGGGATTCCGCAGGGTCCCTGAGGATTCCTCCTTGTCCCTCGGAGTTCTTGGAGATGCCCCGGGATTCCTCTGCATTCTGCGCAGTCCTCCGATACCCCTCAGGACTACTCGACGTTCCACATGCTTCCTGCTGGCCCTTCGAGGTTATGCTGGGTCGTGCGGGCTTCTTTTTTGGACCCCTGGCGGCGTCGCAGCGGCGTCGCATCTTCTGTGGCCTCCTGGGGCCACTTGTGGCCTCCTGCGGGTCCGTGAGGTGTCCTGGTCCTGGGGTTCCCTGGGATTCCCTTGGGGATTCCTGGGGTTCCCTGGGGTTTCCTGGGATTCCCTTGGGGATTCTTGGGGTTCCCTGGGGTTTCCTGGTCCTGGGGTTCCCTGGGATTCCCTTGGGGATTCCTGGGGTTCCCTGGGGTTTCCTGGGCCGCCGTCGGGCTCCCCAGACTTCCTTGGGGATTTCCGGTGGTTTCCTGAGGTTCCCTGGGGCCCCTTGGGGCTTTCTGCGGGCCCCTCTGTGATTCCCTGCCTCCCTGACGTTTCCTGTTGTCACTGGGGCTTTCTGCGTCCTCCTGAAGCCCCTGGGGGCTCCATGAGGCTTCCCTGGGGCCCCCATGGGGTTCCTTTAAATTCTCGTTGGATTCCATGGGTCTCATGCTACGCCCTGGGATTCCATGAGGCTTCCTGGGGCCTCGTGCGGCTCCCCGGGACTCCCTGGGCCTCCCAGGGATGCTTGGAGCTCGCTGGAGCCTCCTGGGGCTTCCTGGGGCTCTCTGGGGCTCCTTGGGCCCCTGGGGCCTCCTATAGGGTTTCCAGTGGTTTTTCCTTGCGTCTTCTGGAGGAGCTGGCGGGTCCCGTGGCTCCTCGCGGCCCGTCCTGTGGCCGCCGAGTGAGTCGCGGCAGCTCCTGGGGCTCCCTGGGGTGATGGGCTTGTTTCCCACCACCACCTCCATAAGTTAGAGGGGGAGGGAGGAGGAGGAGGAGGAGGAGGAGGATGAGGAGGAGGAGGAGGAGGAGGAGAGGAGGAGGGGAAGGAGGACGAAGAGGAGGGAGGAGGAGGAGAAGGACGAAGAGGAGGAGGAGGAGGAGGAGGAGAGGAGGAGGAGGAGGAGGAGGAGGACCCCCTCCCCCTCCAACGTATGGTGGTGGTGGTGGAAAACAGGCCCATCACGGAGGACGCCCCGAGACGTGCCACTGTTTTGGCCAGGCTCCAGGGGGGAGGTCTCTGGGCAGCCCAAGGAGGAAGGTTCTGAGACGGGTGGGGCCTTGGAGCGCCCTTTGGGAGCCCTCCCAGGGCAGCAAGTTCCAGAAAGGGACCGGGAGGTGAAAAACACACAGACACAATTAATTGCCGATTCCCTGGATTGAGTGAGACAGTGGCCCCTTCCCCTCCGAATCTCATTATCAACCGAAGGGTGGTCATGCATAGGTCTGTCTGTATGTATGTATGTATGCATGTGTGTGTATGTATGTATGTATGTATGTATGTATGTATGTAGGTATGTATGTATGTATGTATGTATGTATGTATGTATGTATGTATATATATGTATGTATTTATGTATGTATGTATGTATGTATGTATGTATGTATGTATGTATGTATGTATGTATGTATGTATGTATATATGTATGTATGTATGCATGTATATATGTATGTATGTATGTGTGTATGTAAGTAGTAAGTAATTATGTATGTATGTATGTATGCATTCATGCATGTATGTATGTATGTATGTATGTATGCCTGCATGTATGTAGGTAGGTAGGTAGGCAGGTAGGTAGGTAGGTAGGTAGGTGTGTGTGCATGCATGCATGCATGCATGCATGCATGCGTGTAGGTAGGTAGGTAGGTAGGTAGGTGGGTAGGTATGTGTATGTATGTATGTATGTATGTATGTATGTATGTATGTATGTATGTATGTGTGCATGTACGTGTGCATGCATGTATGTGTGTATGTATGTATGCAGGTGTATGTATGTATGTATGAGTGTATGTGTTTGTATGTATGTATGTCTGTATGTATGTATGTATGTATGTATGCATGTGTATGTATGTATGTATGTTTGTATGTATGTATGTATGTATGTATGTGTGTGTATGTATGTATGTATGTATGCATGCATGTATGTATGTATGTGTGTATGTATGTATGTATGTATGTATGTATGTATGTATATATGTATGTATGTGTGTATGCATGTATGTATGTAGGTGTGTATGTGTGTATGCATGCATGCATGCATGCATGCAGGCATGTTAGCATGTGTGTGTATGTGTGTATGTGTGTATGTGTGTCTGTATGTATGCATGCATGTATGTATGTACGTATGTACGCATGTACGTATGTATGTATGTATGTATGTATGTATGCATGCATGTATGTGTGTACGCACGTACGTTCGTATATATGCATGTCTGTATGTATGTATGTATGCATGTATGCGTGTATGCATGCATGCATGCATGCATGCATGCATGCATGCATGCATGCATGGATCGATGAATGCGTGTATGTATGTGTATATATGTATGTATGTATGGATGTATGGAGTGATGCAATTCTGTATATACATATATACATATATGCACATGCCATTCTATATATCGGGAGATGTGTATACATTTGTATATCAACAATTGTACAATGACCTGAACAACATCTATAGCAATAGAGAGGGAGAAAGAGAGCGAGAGAGAGAGAGAAAGAAAGAAAGAGCAAGAGAGACACACAGAGAGGCCGAGAGGCAGAGACAGCGAGACAGCGAGACAGAGAGACAGCGAGACAGCGAGAGACAGAGAGCGAGACAGAGACAGACAGCCACAGGCGGACCCCTCCGGGCGCACGGCGGGCCCAGGCCTGCGCCGCCCGCGCGCCTGCGCGGGGCCCCCCCCCCCGAGGCGCGGCGCCCCGCAGTTGGCGCCGCCGCGCATGGTGGCGCCGGCGCCCCGGGGCCTCACAGCGGCCCGCGGCGGGGGCCTCCCTCGCCTGTCGGGGGCGGAAAAGAGGGGGGTGATGACTAGGAGGGGGTGGATCTCATGGCGGGGGCCATGATATTTCCCCAGAATTCATGGCGCCTCTTCTTATTTCATTACGTCCCTGGCCCCCCCGCTGGGCCGCGCACATGCCGCCGGTCATGATTTGCACCCCCCCCTCTTGGACACCCCCCTCTTGGCCGCTCCCGAGTCTGCACGAAGGAGATGGGCACGGGAGGAGTGGGCACGGTGCCCAACAGCAGTTCCTGCTCATTTCGAGCAGGGCTCGCTGTCCGCGCCGCCGCGGCCGGTGTCCATTCGAGACAGAAGGCCGCCTGCCCAAGAGCGGCCGCGGATGGTTTGGGACAAGACTTGTTGTCGGGCATTGTGCCCATTCTTTCCGTGCCCATTTCGGGCGTCCAAATCACTCGGGAGCCTTGAGGCCCAGACCCCCCTCGCGTTGTGAGAAAATCACGAAGGGAGGTTTTTCGCTGTCTTCGGCCTTGAAGGGGGGCCCTCACTGCGCCCCTGGGCCGTCAAGAACTATGCAGGATGAAAAGCTGATCTTGGTGAATGGGTCGAGACTTCGGGGGACCGCGCATTGACAAAAATCACAACGTCGTATCTTTGGGTGGGACGGAGGTCGATGCAGGCAGGGGTCAGCCAGAGCGCCCGATCTCGCAGGATATCCTGCAGGGCCGGGGTCGCCTGGACCCGGGCCGGGGTGCAGGAGCCTGCAGGACCTGGCATGCTCCCTCGCATTTGACCCGGGCCGGGGCCTCACGGCCGTCAGTCGAGCAAGAGAAAGCCACATGAACCTTAAAACTGTTGGCGCTCCGCGCGGCTTCCTTGGATCCGCGCCCAGGAACCCCTGGCGGCTGGCTCCTCCAGCGCCGCCGGGGGGGTCCAGCGCGAATCCATGAAATCCGCGCGGAGCGCAAACAGTGTGTTCAGGAGGGGAAGAAACACACAGACACAATTAATCGTCGACTCCCAGGAAAATATGCAAAAATATGGGAAGTGGGGGGGAAGACAGAAACCCAGAAAATATGGGAAAAATATGGGGGATATTTTTATTTGTGTGTATTTTTTTGTGTGTTCCAGTTCCCCTTCGTGTGTGTTTCTGTGGTTTTGCTCTTCTTCTAGTCAGGGGCGGCCTGAGCGACCCCCAGCAGACCATCCCCTTCCGCGGCGTGCCCCTCGCCTCGCCCCAGGGCGTGGCCTCCGAGAGGTTTTTGAGAGCCCCTTCCCAACCGTGGTGACGAGGATCTGTTCGATGCCCTTATGGAGGAGGAGGAGGAGGAGGAGGAGGAGGAGGAGGAGGAGGAGGAGGAGGAGGAGGAGGAGGAGGAGGAGGAGCAGGAGCAGCAGCAGCAGCAGCAGCAGCAGGAGCAGGAGCAGGAGCAGGAGCAGGAGCAGGAGCAGGAGCAGGGCCGGGACTGGGACCAGGACCAGGACCAGGATCAGGAGGAAGGATGAGGACGAGGACGAGGACGAGGACGAGGACGAGGACGAGGACGAGGAGGAGGAGGAGGAGGAGGAGGAGGAGGAGGAGGATGTGGGGCGAGTTTTTTCCCGCCGAGAAAAACAGGGGTGCTGGGGGGATCCACTACTGAGGACCTCCTGAGGCTCTCTTTGCGGCCAGAGGGACGCTCGAAAGACGAGGGCGACGTCGGCGAAGGGGATGGTTTGCTATAGGGCCCGGTGTTAGGCCGCGCCCGAGGCCGTCCCGCTGCCGCCCGCGCCCGCGGGCGCTGCCGCGCCACCGGCGCGCCGGCGCGCCGGCGCGCTGGTGCGCCCGGCGGCGCTGTTGCTCCTTCGGCGGCTCAAAGATGGGGGGGACTCCGAGGGGTGGGGCCCTGAGCTTAAGTCGGGCCTGTCCCCCTACAGGGGGATTTTCGACGAAAAATAAAACATACCCTAAAAGTAATCCAAAAATGATCCAAAAAGGGGACTATTTTGCAATATTTTTTGCCTTTTTGGAATATTTTGGGGGTATTTTTTATTTTTCGTCGAAAATCCCCCTGTAGGGGGACACCCCCGACATAACCCTGAGCGGACGGGGGCCAGGACGAGGAGAGGGCCGTGGCAGAGCGTGCTGCAGAAGGCTCTCCGAGCGTTCGCCGGGGCGCTGCGAGAGGGCCGAGAGGCGCCCGGGACCTCCCCCAGAGTCGCCTGAGCTCACAGGTTCCCACTTCATCCTCGCCCGAGTTGATCCTCGTCCTCCTCCTCCTCCTCCTCCTCCTCCTCTCCTCCTCCTCCTCATCCTCCTCCTCCTCCTCCTCCTCCTCCTCCTCCTCCTCCTCCTCCCCCCCCCCCCCCGCCGATGACACCCCGTCGTCGCCCCGCCCGGGGGCCGCTGGCGCGCCCGTGGTCGGTTTCGGGGGCGGCCCCTGGGGGCAGGGCCGAACGGCCGCCCGGGAGACGCGCCCGGGAGGGGTCGCGGGGGAGGCCGCCCGATCGGCGGAGGGCGCCCGCGCCCCTCTCGGCCCGGGCCGGAGCGCCGAGCCCGGGCCCCCCCCCCCCCCAGCGGGTCGGGGGCCGATCGGGCGGGTGGTCGTGGGGTCAAGCAGCGTTCCGTCGGGCGCGTGCCTCTGGCAGGAGGGATATTCAAGGACAGTCCAGGAATAGTCTTGGGGCGACTTTTCTTCCATTGTTTTGGCTCTCTTTGGACATGTTTGGGCCCTTTTTTGTGTTTCGCCCAAAATCCGCCTGTAGGGGGACATGCCCGACCTAAGCCTGGGTCGGAGCTCCAAGCCCAGGGCCCCCCCAGCCGGTCGGGGGCCGATCAGGCAGGAGGTCACGGGGTCAAGCAGCGGCGAAGCGTCCTGGGTTGCCAACAGGCCCACCCACGCATGTTCTAAGAGTCTTGTGTGGTCTGCACGAACTGTTCTCGGAACGTTTCTGGCTCAGAGTGTTTTGTTCCGGCACATCGGGCTTCTGTTCTAAGAATCTGTTTTTTTGTACATTTCTGGGTTCTAAGAAAATGTCGTGGTAGGGCTATAGGAATGCCAGGACGGTCGGAGAAAAGGATTCGGAAGGGGCCCTTCAGGGTCCCTTCTGGAGCCAGCAGTGGCCCACAAGGGGCCTCGAAGGGCCCCTTTGGAGTCCTCTTCTCCACCCTCCATGGAAGTCGCTCCTATTACTACCCGCCCGAGCGGAGGGCAGCCCCACGGTTCCAGACCCCCGCGGGTCGTAAACAAATCGTGACGGGAGTTGATGGGCTTGTGTTCCACCACCACCACTACCATAGGTAGGAGATGGAGAAGGAGGAGGAGGAGAAGGAGGAGGATGACCTCCTCATCCTCCCTTCTCCCCCGTCCTGCATATGGTAGTGGTAGTGGAAAATGTGCCCATCAGGAGTTGTTTTTCTTTTTAGTCTTTTCTGTTATGCCTTTGGGGGCCCCTTGCCGCGTCTCGGGACCGTCGGAAAACGAGTCAGGATGAAAAGCCGGTCCCAGGGAATGGGTCGAGACTTCTGGGGGTCGACGTCAAGAACAGATCATGACGTCGGGGGTCTGGGGTGAGGGGAAGGCATTGCCGGTACCGCTATCCGTGCCTGTTTTTCGCCCCGTTTCAGCCTCCTGGGAGGCCCTCGTCGCCCCCGCTGGGTTCGCTTCGAAAGCATGATCAGAACCCACCCCCAGACCAGACCGCACCCCATGAGATCACTCGAGCAATGTAGATCCACCCTTGGATGCCTTCCTATCCTCAGGTCTCCTTTTTTCAGGCGCCCATCCCAGACCCCAGACGTATTTTTGTTTGTCCCAACCATCCTGTGGTGTTGGGTCCTCGTTTTGGAGAGAGTGCTCCGCGTCTCCTCTCCTCCTTCCTCTCCTCCCTCCTCCCCCTCACCGCACCCATTTCAACAGACCCCTCACACGTTTCGTGGCCCCATAGGGAGTCCCTTCGAAGGCCCCAGTGGGAAAGTTCGCATGGCGGCCTCGGGCCAGTTCGGCGCACCCCTCACACGTTTCGTGGCCCCATAGGGAGCCCCACCGAAGGCCCCAGTGGGAAAGTTCGCATGGCGGCCTCGGGCCAGTTCGGCGCACCCCTCACGAGGACCGTGGCCCCATAAGGAGTCCCATCGAACATGATGGTCACGTCTGCGGTACTCACAGCTGCATATGGTTGGGCCCTTCGCCAAAAAACAAAAGCAAACAAAGCAAACAACAGAAACAAAACAGTAAGTCGACCCCCTCCTCCTCCTTCTCCTCCCCCTCCTCCTCCTCCTCATCCTCCCTCTTCCTCCTCCTCCTCCTCCTCCTCCTCCTCCTCCTCCTCCTGCTCCTCCTCCTCCTCCTCCTCCTCCTCCTCCTCCTCCTCCTCCTCCTCTTGATCCATTCCCCGGGACCAGTGTTTCAGCCTGGGTCGTGCTGTTGACGGTCCCGAGGCCCGGTCAGGGCCCCGAGGGCCGACCCTGGAGAGGGGCGCCTGCCGCCAGGCTCTTGCCATTCGTGGGCCTGTCTTCCACCGCCACCACCATACGTTGGAGGGGGAAGGAGGAGGAGGACGAGGAGGGGGATGACGAAGAGGAGGAGGAGGAGGAGGAGGAGGAGGAGGAGGAGGAGGAGGAGGAGGAGGGGGATGACGAAGAGGAGAGGGAGGAGGAGGAGGAGGAGGAGGAGGAGGAGGAGGAGGAGGAGGAGGAGGAGGGGATGACGAGAGGAGGAGGAGGAGGAGGAGGAGGAGGAGGAGGAGGAGGAGGAGGGGGAGGAGGAGGAGGAGGCGGAGGACGAGCAGGGGGATGACGAGGAGGAGGAGGAGGAGGAGGAGGAGGAGGAGGAGGAGGAGGTGGAGAAGGTGGAGTAGGAGGAGGGCCACCTCCCCCTCCGACTTCTGGGTGGTGGTGGTGGAAAGCAGGCCCATCAACCATGACCCGAGTGGGTCGGCCTGGGCCCTTGGGTGCCCTCCTGTCCTCAGAGGCCCCCGTCCCTCGGTCTGACCGAAAAGGGGGTCCAGTCCATTTTTTTCCGACGCCGCTTCCCTCTTCGAGTCGCCTGGATGGCACAATGGAGCTCTCTGAAGCAAGCCTGTTGGCATGCACTCACACGTTGCCGCAAATATTTGAAATCCAGCTGGTCGCATTCTCCAGAGCAGTGACTTCAGCGCGAAAAGCAGACCTCGCTCGCGCCAGATACTGCCCCATGCACTTGGGGTTGCGATACATTCTGGGGTTGCAATACACTTTGTGTTGCAATATATTTGGGGCGTGCGATATCTTCCGGGGCGCACATGTATTGCTGGATGCCCGCGTGCAACGCACTACTTGCAGTGGAGTGCAATAGAACTCTCTGGCGCAATACATGTGCAGCGCACTTGCCCCAAATCTGTTGCACCACCCCCTTTCAGCTGGACCCCCTTTTGGGTGTGCTCGAACTTGGAGCCTTGCTCCGCGAGAAGTCCGGCCGATGGTCTGGCTGCTGCGCTGCTCCGCCTCCTCAGCGGGTGGGCTCCTGGCAAGACCCCGCCGGCGAAGCAGCTTTACCGCGCGCAGCTTCCGCACTTCGGGGCGCGGGGCATCCACCGAAGCAGAAGAACGACGCCATGAGCATACTCCAGATTTCGCAATGAAAGGGAGGGGGTCTGGACCCCCCAAGACAAGCCATTTCAGACCCCCCCCCCGTGGGAGAACCCTCCAAAACATCGTCCCCAGACCCCCCCAGGCCCTCCAAGATAGCCTGGAAGAGACCCCCCCCCGAAATGAGACCCCCCTCCCTTTATTACGAAATCTGGAGTACACTTTGTGTGGGCGCACCACCCCCTTTCAGCTGGACCCCCTTTGGCCCTTTGGGGTCACCCGGAGTCCCTCGGGCGGCCATCCCACACCTCCGACGTGGGCCTCGACCGCCCGCCCGAGTTGTTGTTTGACGGTCCCGAGGCCCAGCGAGGGCCCCGAGAGGCCCCAGATCACGAAAAGCTTCCGCCCCGATTTTTGTCGAGACGCCCCATGCATGGGTCCTCAGGCCCCCTTTCGGGGATGGACAGACCTCCTACCCTGACGCGTCGATTGAGGAATTGGCCGTTTTCGGTTCGCGAGAGGGCGTCGCGGCCGTCATGTTTGCGGGTCCAGGTCCGTCGGTTTCGGTCCCAGGCCGTTTTCACTAAGGGGAGGTCTACTAAAGGGAGGTTTGTCCACCGCCGACCCTTCCCTCGGGCGCCCATCCTTGGCCCGCCGGCGCCTGGGCCTCGCAGCGGCCCGCGGCGCGGGCCTCGCGGTGGCCCCGCCCGCGCGCGCGCGGCGCGCCCGAGGCGCGGCGGCGCGCCGCGGCGCGCCGCGCGGCGCGCCGCGGCGGGGGGCCTGGGCGACTGGGCCGGCTGGGCGCAGGGGGGCGACGAGCGGGAGAGCGAGGCGGAGCTGGCCCGAAAGACTCGCAGACCAAAGACCACACCAAGGAAGCATGGATCGGGAGCTGGGCGAGGGCTGGCAAATCCGTGGCTGCTAAAAAACGGGCCTCCCAGAAGAAACAACAAATTCCGGGAATGCAGCTCAGCGCACTGAACAGTAAACAGGCTGCTTCCCGGAAAAGAAAAAGCAATTTCCCGGGGGCGACGAGCGGGAGAGCGAGGCGGAGCGGGCCGTAAGTCGGGTATGTCCCTCTACAGGAGGGGTATTCAAGAATAGTCAAAACATTGTCTCGGGACGATATTTTGTTGAGTATATGTTGGGGCATTGTGGGTGTATTGTTTTGATTATTTGTTTTCATTTTTCGTCCAAGATCCGCCTGTGGGGGCGTCAACACCGCAGAGCGGAGTTCGTGCCTGAAACCAGAGTGTGGGCCTTGGACTGTCCTGGAGAGTTTCGTTCCGGATTTCGAGGCGAATGTCGTGCGGATTTTTTGGGGCCAGGAAGGAAGACGAAGAAAGATCCACGCATTCGCCGTTTCGGGGTTTTGCAGTGGCGGAAGTCCACGCAAAAGTCCGCTGCAGCACGTCTGCAAGGTCGGTGCAGTGAGAGCTGGCCTGAAAGACTCGCAGACCAAAGACAACAATCAATCAGCATGGATGAACACGGACTCGGCGGCGAGCGGGGGGGGGGGGAAGGGAGGAGGAGGAGGCCTTCGCGGAAGGCGGCGGGGCTTCTCGGGAGCCCTCGCGCCTTCAGAGAAGTTGTCCGCGTCTTTGGGGAAGGCCTCGAGAACTTTTCGGAAGGCTGGGGGACTTCTGGGCCTTCTGAGAAGGCCCTCTCCGTCTCACTTCCCCCCCTCGCTCGCCGCCGAAACAAGCGTACACTTTTGGAGCTCCGCGCGGATGTCTTGGATCGGCGCTGGCGGATTACGGGACGCGCGCTCAGATTCCGAGAGTCGCGCGATGGGCGTTGCTAACAGCCCGGGAGGATAAATCATACGTAGCACCCCGCAATTGCGGATAAGAGTGAGGGGGCGGGCGCGGGCGACGCGGGCGTCGTCGAGCCGGCGGACCTCGTGGCCCCCACCTTCCTTGTCGATGGCGCTCTCCTCCACCTCCTCCTCCTCCTCCTTCTCCTCCTCTTCCTCCTCCTTCTCCTCCTCCTCTTCCTCGTCCTCATCGTCATCGTCATCCTCCTCCTCCACCTCGTCCTCCTCCTCCTCCTCCTCTTCTTCCTCGTCCTCCCTCTCCTCTCGTCCTTTGTCGTCCTCCCCCTCATCGGCCTCCATCATCGTCCTTGTTGTCATCATCATCATCCTCCCCCCCCTCCTCCTCGTCCTTCTCCCCCTCCTCCCCCTCCTCCCCCTCGTCCTCCTGCTCCTCCTCCTTTTCTTTCTCCACGTTCTCCTTACATCCTCTCTTCTTCCTCGTTCTCCTCGTCCCCTGTTTACTCATCCTGCCTCCCCCTCCTTTCCCAAGATAACTGCAACGCAATCCTTTTTTCCACTTTATGCTCCCCGCCTTCTCTGATCAAGGCAACTCGCCAGGGCAAAGTTGCTGGACGGGCTGGCGTGGATGTGCGGGGCGTGAAGAGGTCCTTGCGGGCTCAGACGGCATGCAAGAATCCGCCGCCGCGCTTGTGCGGCATTGGTTTGTTCAGTGAACGTGGTTTAGGTCGCGGGTGGGTCGCGGGCTCTCCACCTCCACCTGGAAGGAATGCAAAAGCAGCCCGCCGCAAGCGCCAAAAAATTGGTTCGTACACGGAACGAGGTTTGGGTCGCGGGTGGGCCGCGGGTTCTCCACAGGGAACGAATGCAAAGGATGCCCGCCGCAGGCGCCGAAAATGTGGTTTGTACCCTGAACGTGGTCGCGGGTGGGCCGCGGGCTCTCCACCTGAAACGAATGCAAAATATGCCCGCCGCAGGCGCCGAAAAATGTGGTTTGTACCCTGAACGTGGTTTGGGTCGCGGGTTGGTCGCGAGTTGGTCACGGGATGTGTCGCGGGCTCTCCACTTGGAAGGAATGCAAAAAAGCCCGCCGCAGGCGCCGAAAATTGTGGTTTGTACCTTGAACGTGGTTTGGGTCGAAGGTGGGTCGCGGGTGGGTCGCGGGGTAGGTCGCGGGTGGGTCGCGGGTGGGTCGCGGGTGGGTCGCGGGTGGGTCGCGGGTGGGTCGCGGGGTGGGCCGCGGGGGGGTCGCGGGGTGGGTCGCGGGTTGGGTCGCGGGGTGGGTCGCGGGGTGGGTCGCGGGGTGGGTCGCGGGGTGGGTCGCGGGTGGGTCGCGGGTGGGTCGCGGGTGGATCGCGGGGTGGGTCGCGGGGTGGGTCGCGGGTGGGTCGCGGGGCGGGTTGCGGGTGGGACGACGACAACAAACAACAACAACAACAAACAACAACAGCAACAACAAGAATCCGCACCGCGGAATTCCACATCAGCCACGCACCCAGGGACAGTGAATGACCGTTCGGCCCCCTCACTCTGATCTTTTTCAACTGGGGGGGGTGCAGGGGGGGGGTTAATGGCTCGGGGTAGTGATCAGGTCCTGGCGGATTACGGGGAGCGTGCTCAGACTCAAAGAGTCGCGCGAGGGACGTTGCCATCGACCCGGGAGGGTGAAGGTCTCTGATCACGGGCTTCGGCACGGCTCCCCGCAGGCCTGGCCGACGACTGGAAGCGCGCTTCGGCTCAAAGAGTCGCGCGATGGACGTCGCCTCCCGGCCTGGAGGGGAAGCATTTATCAAGTGGGGGGCGGAAAAGAGGGGGGTGATGACTATGGGGGGGGGGAATATCATGGCGGGGGCCATGATATTTCCCCAGATCTCATGGCGCCTCTTCTTATTTCATTACGTCCCTGGCCCCCCCGCTGGGCCGCGCACATGCCGCCGGTCATGATTTGCACCCCCCCCTCTTGGACACCCTCCTTTTGGCCGCTCCCGAGGGAGGTGTCCGGGGGCGGAGTGGGGGCGGGCGGCGGGAGCGCTCCTCCGCGGCGCCGTGGCCGATGACGAAGATGAGCGTTTCGTCCGAGACATCCTCACAACATCGAGATGCTGGAGACTATCGCTTTAGGACGTGTTATGCAAACATAGAGCGTTTCGCCTGAGACGTCCTCAGAAAATCAGGATATTGAAATCGCTGGCCGAATCTTCGGAACTTCAAACATGGCCGTTTGGCCTGCGTCATCCTCGACAAAATGAGATGCGCCAAGAGCTGTTTTGAGACATATTTTCGGAGCTGTTTTTATTAACTCCAAAATGTCCCAAATAGCTACATTATTGGAGCACACTTGGGCTTGAAAGCCTTATGCTTAAAAGTAAGCGTTTCGCTCGAGAAATCCCCTTACGAATGCCTTCGGACGGGCTTTCGAAACCATCAGATCATGATGAGTATGCTGGTGATGACGATGATGATGTCGATGACGATGACGATGAGAATGATGCTGATGCTGATGCTGATGCTGATGCTTATGATGAGGAGGATGGTGGTGGTGACGGTGATGGTGATGGTGATGGTGATGATGATGGTGATGGTGATGATAATGACGATTATGATGCTAATGATGACGATGATGATAATGGTGATTCTGCGTATGCCGCTCATGTTGCGAAGCCGATATGTATGATAATGTTGGTGCTTGTGATGGTGCTGATCATGAGGATGGTGATCATGGCAGTGATGGTGACGACGATGGTCTTGCTTGTGATGCTGCTGTTGCTGGTGATGATGGTGACGATCATGTGCTGGGCTGCTGGCGATGGTGCTGATCATGGTGATGGTGATCATGATAGTGATGGTGACGACGATGGTCTTGCTTGTGATGCTGCTGCTGGTGATGATGGTGACGATCATGTGATGGGCTGCTGATGATGGTGATGATGATGATGGTAAAGGCGATTATTACAGTGAGGGGGGGAGACAGAGGAAACTGGAGGTGCTCAGACGGGTGAGAGGATGCTCAGACATATGCTTGTGAAGCTTTGGTGGGGCGCGTGTCTATAGGTATCCGTTGTGAACGTTCGGAGGGCTCGCCTACATTACATTTGACCGTGATCATTCTCCACGTTCTTGCGCAACTCATCGCTTTCACGCGCTTTCCGTTCATGCCATGAAAGGTTTCTCAGAAGTCTTCAGTAACGTGGAGTCTCCACGTGAAGCCTTTCACGTG